AATTTTAAAACCCACAGGGACTCTTACTGGTTGAAGGGGGGGGAGGAGACCTACTCTCCTCCCCACCCCCGGCCCCCGGCCCCCACCCCTGGGCGGCGGGTGGGGGCCATAAAGATAATGAGGGGGTGACCTACTGTCCCCCCCGGCCCCCACCCCTGAGCGGTGGGTGGGGGACCTAATAACAATAAGGGGGGGACCTATTGTCCCCCCCGCGGCCCTAATAACAATAAGGGGGGGACCAATTGTCCCCCCCGCCCCCCACCCCTGAGCGGTGGGTGGGGGCCCTAATAACAATAATGGGGGACCTATTGTCCCCCCCCGGCCCCCACCCCTGAGCGGTGGGTGGGGGCCCTAAAATGAAAAATAAGGGGGGGACCTATTGTCCCCCATGGCCCCCACCCCTGAGCGGTGGGTGGAGGCCCTAAAATGAAAAATAAGGGGGGGACCTATTGTCCCCCCGCCTCCACCCCTGTGCTGCGGGTGGGGGCCATAATGATAATGAGGGGGGGACCTACTGCCCCCCCCCGGCCCCCACCCCTGCGCAGCGGGTGGGGGCCATATTGATAATGAGGGGGGGAACCTACTGCCCCTCCGGCCCCCACCCCTGCGTGGCGGGTGGGGGCCATATAGACTAATGAGGGGGGGGACCTACTGTCCTCCCCCCGGCCCCCACCCCTGGGCGGTGGGTGGGGGCCACAAAGATAATGAGGGGGGACCTACTGTCCTCCCCCCCCCGGCCCCCACCCCTGGGCGGCGGGTGGGGGCCACAAAGATAATGAGGGGGGGACCTACCGTCCTCCCCCCCAGCCCTAAGTAAATTCCCCCCCCAAGCCCCTAGTCACCCACCCACCCCCAAATAAAAAGTCCCTACCTACCCCCCCACCCTAAAAAATAGTGAGGGGGGAATAAAATAACTAACCTGTAAAATAAAAGTAAACTTACCATTCGACATCTTCTTTTTTCTCAAATCTTCATTTTTCAGCCCCAAAAAAGGCCAAATAAAAAACCATCATAACCGTCGAATTGAAAATAAAATAAAAATCCCGAGCGCAAAAAAAAAAAAACGGACGAAAAAGAAAAAAACCAGAGCGCAAAAAAATAATTCATCTTCACCCATGGAGGGCTCCGCGCAGACTGAGCTCTGCAGGGCGGGGGAAGGCTTATAAAGCACCTTCTGTCCATGTTTTGGGGGACAATTGGATTGATGTTTTATCACTCTTTTGCCCCCCCTCCTAGTTTAAATACATCCTAGCAAAACCTTTTGTTCCCTTTTGAGATGCAAACCATCTTTTTTGCACAGGTTATTTCCATTCTAAACAGAGCTACCATGAGAAATCAAGCCAAATCCTTGCTCCCGACACCATTCACCAAGCCACAAATTAAAGTCCCTAATACGCATCCGCCTGTTGTTCTGAGTGTTATGCACAGGCAGAACTTCAGAGAATGACAGTGTGGAAGCAACCTGCCGTATATCACTGGCAAAAACACTAAAAACTTCCTTAACCTCTGAAACCTCATTGCATGCCAAGTCATTTGTCCCTAGATGGACAAGTACATCAAATTCCCCATCCTGCTTTGCTCGCTTAACAATATTACAGATACGTCTCCTGTCTCTGTGAGCAGTAGCTCCAGGAAGACACCTCACAAGACCATCATTGTCCATCTCCACACTTCTTATAATGGAATCCCCCAACAACAACTGCTTTCTATTAGACCTCACCATAGTCTCCAAGCCGGTCTCCACAACACCACTAGCCTCAGTGCCTCTCTCCACAACGCCACTAGCCTCAGTGCCCCTCTCCACAACACCACTAGCCTCAGTGCCCCTCTCCACAACACCACTAGCTTCAGTGCCTCTCTCCACAACACCACTAGACTCAGTGCCTCTCTCCACAACACCACTAGACTCAGTGCCTCTCTCCATAACACCATTTCACTCGGAGAGTGCAGAAAATGAATTATGTAGAGCAACAAACTGTGCAATATGCCTTTTATCCACAACTCTAAGTCTACCAGATCCTACAGTAATCCATCTGCCATTCCTAGTAGGTCTCTGCGGCAGTGGCTTTGCAGCAGTTCCAGTCTGAGTTTGTTCACTAGATAATTTACAAATCTCAGACTTCAAAAATACAATCTCCCACAAGATAGAGAACTGTCTACAGATTAGACAACAACCAAACCTCCAAAAAGTGGAACGTGAAACAAATACAACTATTACACTGAACTAAGTCTGCCATTCCAATGAGGAGAATAATGTAAATCAAACGAATTTTAACTTTTTATTTATCCTCCTGAATACCTCAGATTACCTCTAGGTTATCTCCAGAATATCTCCAACCACACACTTAGAAGCAACACTTAGATGAAGCAACCAAGCTATATTAGACAAGCTAATGACAACAACCATTATATAACTCCTAAAATCACCACCCACTAGGAATGTTTAACACCTGGGTAGGCCTCTGCTTATTTGCAAACAATAGCTAATTTAAACAGCAATCAATAGCAAGTAGCTAACTAATCAAATCAAATGCCTTATAATTACCAACAGGAATTCAAACCTTGTGCAATCAGTAACCTTTTCCTACAGATGAATCTTACCTGTAACAGTAGAAAAGAAAACTCTTAGCACATCTCTTAGACAGTTAAAGCTTCTGTGAAACTCTCCAGAATATCTCCAACCACACACTTAGAAGCAACACTTAGATGAAGAAACCAATTACTGTGGTTACATCGCAGGTTTAACAATTCAATTTTTTTAAATGCTAAATAGTACATTTGGGGCCTGCACTTCATATTTGAGAGTCAAATAGAACCATCAAATACAGTGGTTACAGCGCCGTTTTAAAAATTCAAATTTTTTAGGTGCTAAATAGTACATTTGGGGCCTGCACTTCATATCTGAGAGTCAAATAGAACCGTCAAATACTGCGGTTACATCGCAGTTTTAAACATTCAAATTTTTTAGGTGCTAAATAGTACATCTGGGTTGTGCACTTCATATCTGAGAGTCAAATGGAACCGTCAAATACTGCTGTGACATAGCAGTTTTAAAAATTCTAATTTTTTTGGTGCCAAATAGTACATTTGCGTCATGCGGTGCACTTCATATCTGAGAGTCAAAAAGAACCGTCAAATACTGCTGTGACATAGAAGTTTAAAAAATTTAAAATCTTTTGGTGCTAAATAGTACATTTGCAGCCTGCAGTGCACTTCATATCTGAGAGTCAAATAGAACCGTCAAATACTGTGGTTACAGCGCAATTTTAAAAATTCACATTTTTTGGGTGCTAAATACTACATTTGGGGCCTGCGCTTCATATCTGAAAGTTAAATAGAACCGTCAAATACTGTGGTTAGAGCGTAGTTTTAAAAATTCTAATTTTTTAGGTGCTAAATAGTACATTTGGGGTGTGCACTTCATATCTGAGAGTCAAATAGAACCGTCAAATACTGCTGTGACATAGCAGTTTTAAAAATCCTACTTTTTTGGGTGCCAAATAGTGCATTTGCAGCCTGCGGTGCACTTCATATCTGAGAGTCAAATATAACCGTCAAATACTGTGGTTACAGCGCAGTTTTAAAAATTCACACTTTGTATGTGCTAAATAGTACATTTGGGGTGTCCACTTCATATCTGAGAGTCAAATAGAACCGTCAAATACTGCTGTGACATAGCAGTTTTAAAAATTCCATTTTTTTGGGTGCTAAATAGTACATTTACGTCCTGCCGTGCACTTCATATCTGAGAGTCAAATAGAACCGTCAAATACTGTTGTTACAGCGCAATTTTTAAAATTCATATTTTTTGGGTGCTAAAAAGTACATTTGGGGCATGCACTTCATATCTGGTGTATGTGTGCAACACTGGCTAGTTACTGCTTCTCAAGAAAGTCTAAAGACTTTTTTAAAACAGTGAAAAATAAGTGTTATTGTGATCGCTTCATATACAGAAGCATTGATATACATTTCTATATTCTGTAAAGACACAACTATAAAGCTAAAAACCAAACACCAAAATAACGTGCCAGACAATGGGCGAGAATTTTTTTTTGCAAATGGAACTTTGATTCGAATTTACTACATCAGTCACTTGTAATATTGTTTCACACCTACAACACTTGTTACACAGATCTAAGTGATAGAAAACAGATTGATATTTTCTACACTAGAAACTACCAGATAACAAGCTGCTATATTTAAACCAGTTATCAATAGCTACGAGGTACTTACACAATATTGTAATTCTGGGGCAATACCCTCACAAGTCAAACTGAGAGCTCAGTTTATAGGGAGAACTGTTGCCTGGATATAATTCTAAAATAATTTCCACATGTCCTTTGCAGACTTTACATGCTGGAAATACACAGGTGCCAACTGCTGTGGCTTTCTGCAGTGTGCAGACCGGCAAGGAGGGCAGGGTTGAAGCGTGGGTGGAAGATGTTGTGGAGGATGATGAGGTCCTAGACCACATGGAATGAAGGTCATGCGAGTGACGTGTGCAGTTTGGAGGAAGAGGTGGTGGTCGCACAGAGGCACCAGCATAGCACAATACTAGGGAGCACAATGCAAAAGTGGAGCAGCCATCCCCTAGCGCTCATCGGCATGTATTAGCTCTAGAATTATCACAGTTATCCAAGTAACAGATGGAGCGATCAAAGGAACCATAACTGATTTAATGAGCCATTCGCAGTTTCACTGTAGCAGCTGTGCGCGCTTTAGGCGTTCTCACCCTGATGCTGCTCGCCTGTTTGCGCTGCAGCGTATCTTCGGCCTTCTCGCTCACCGCCTCATATGCAACGTGCCCACAAGGTGGAACTCCACCTTGCACATGCTGGAGATACTGTGTGAGCAGCAGCAGGCGATAGTGGAGTTTCAGCTGCAGCACGCACGGGTCAGTCGCTCTGCACCAGACTTGCCCTCCAATAGATCCTAGGTAAAGGATTTAAAATGTACTCATTCCAATTAAAGGGCCTTGAAAGAGTCCTGTATTGTTATTTATCATCACTACCTCCCCGCGTCGGGAGGGGGTCATTTGCGCGCCTGATTCTTTCCTTGGATGTGGTAGCCGTTTCTCAGGCTTCCTCTCCGGAATCGAACCCTGATTCCCCGTTACCCGTGGTCACCGCAGACATTCAAATGCGTCGTCGCTGTCACGGGACGTGTGATCGGCCCGATTTTATCTAGAGTCACCAAAGTGCCTGCGCAACGACTGCCGAGTTACCCACATTCTTACTTGTGCTGATTACTGGGTGGCCACCCTTCTGGATCCCCGTTATAAGGACAACATGTCGTCCTTAATTCCCTCACTGGAGCGTGATTGGAAGATGCGCGACAACAAGCGCACACTGGTAGACGCGCTGCTGAGGGCATTCCCAACTGACACCAGGGGCTCAGTGGAAGCACAAGGCGAAGGCAGAGGAGGAGGAAGAGGTCGCCAATGCAGCTGGGGCACCGCCAGCACCTCACAAGGCAGGGTTAGCAAGGCTGAAATGTGGAAAAGCTTTGTCAGCATGCCACAACAACCAGCACCACCAGCTGATATGGAGCGTCTTAGCAGGAGGCAGCATTTCAGCAACATGGTGGAACAGTACGTGTGCAAATGCCTACTCGTACTGACTGATGGGTCTGCCCCATTCAACCTCTGGGTCTCCAAATTGGGCACATGGCCTGAACTTGCCATTTATGCCTTGGAGGTGCTGGTCTGCCCTGCAGCCAGTGTATTGTCTGAATGTGTGTTTAGTACAGCAGGGGGTGTTATCACAGACAAGTACAGCTGCCTGTCCACAGCCTACATGGACAAGCTCACGTTTATTAAAATGAACCAGGCATGGATCCCACCAGACTTGTCTGTACCTTGTGCAGAATAGACATTTATACCGGCCTCACCCATCCATTGTTATTCTCAAGTGCACTTATTCTTTGTTTTTTTATATGTCCCAATATTTTGGGGGCTACCACAATTAAAAAACAAAACAAAAAACATACCTACTCCGCCTCCACCGCCGCTTCCACCTACACCGCCACGGTCACCGCCTCCTCAACCTCCTACTCCACATCCACCTCGTCCTCCTAGAGCAGGGTGCAAAAGCGCAGCAGCCGTTCCCTAGACAGTACTCCTGCTACTGCCCACCGCACCCAGGGACCGAGCACATCAAAGCTAGCTCCACGGAGTTCCCTGGCATGGCAGTTCTTCAGACAATGTGCTGATGACAAGACACTAGTGGTTTGCACTCTGTGCAATCAGAGCCTGAAGCGAGGCATAAACATTCTGAACCTGAGCACAACCTGCAGGACCAGGTATCTACATGCAAAGCACGAGCTGCAGTAGAGTAAGCACCTCAAAAACCAAGAAAGGTCTCAGGCTCCTCCTGCTTCTGCTGTCTCGGCCTCTTCCTCCACCTCTTCCTCACCCAGCAAACAGAGCATGTGGCAGCAACACCACCACATCCATCACAGTCCCCAAGCATCTCCACATTGTCCCATGGAAGCGTCCAGCTGTCCATCTCCCAAACACTGGAGAGAAAGAGGAAGTACCCCCCTACCCACCCGCGATCCCTGGCCCTGAATGCCAGCATTTCATAATTCCTGGCCTTTGAAATGCTGTCATTCTGTCTGGTGGAAACGGACAGTTTTAAAAACCCGATGGTGTTATTGGACTGCAAGAAATGCACCGCAGGTTGCAAATGTTTATTTTTTTATATGTCCCAATATTTTGGGGGCTACCCCAATAAAAAAAACAAATAAAACAGTCTTGGCTACCTCCTCCACCTCCGCCACCGCTGCTTCCACCAAAACCGCCATGGTCACTGCCTCCTCAACCTCCTACTCCACATCCACCTCCTCCTCCTAGTTCAAGATTATTATTTTTAATTTTTATGTATTTTATGTTATTTTAAGTTATTTCCCTATCCACATTTGTTTGCAGGGCACTTGTCCTACTCTTACCCCATTTTACTTCCTTTTGCAGCCCTCTAGCCTTTTCCAGGACTTTTTTAGAGCCATTTTAGTGCCCAAGTTCAAGTACGGGTTCGGGTCAAGTTCAAGCCCGAACTCGAACTTTTTGACAAAGTTCGGCTGAAATCGGCGAACTCGAACATCCAGCTTAACACTATAATACCAGCCACCCCGCCCTCCCCCCCCAAAAAAACGCGGAAATTTTATTCATCCATTATTTCATTTTTTTTAAACCATTCTGTAAAAGACCCCTTAACTTAATTTTTAATGGGTGTTTCTTTTTTCAGTTTTTTATATGTATTCTCATCCCCAATATTCTGTAAGTTTCCTGTGGATAATAACCTCTATATTTTACAATTATTGTGTTGACACTCAACTACAGGGTGGTGCAGGTATTAGAGGTAACCCCCATAAGGACCTCAATAATATATACAAATAAATCCCTATTAATACTGCACTGAATCGCATATTATGTGCATTTAAAAAGAAAATAATCAATATGTTGAAATGCAAAAATGTATTTATTGTACACTAAATGAAAAACAGAACAAAAGATAAAATCAAAAAAGAGGACCACTATTGCAAAATATACGGAATGGTATACACTCTGTTAATTCAATCACCATACAATAGTTAACAGAAAAAAAATCTTATATACTTAAAATAGGTACAACGTATTCTATATACACTCTATAAATGTAACTTGATGAATAATGATAAATGGTAGTTTATATACAGTCCGGTGCATCCATTAAATTAAACAATGAGAGAGTGAAAGGTATTTCAAACCTTTCTAGACATGAGTTGATGGAGAAACAATTAATAATTTTAAATAAAGGATTGCTAATTGCACTCCAGAAAGGGCCAAATAATTTTGAACTATTTATAGATCCTCAAAAGTTTTTGAGAAAAAGGACTATTAAACTTTTTTTTAAAAAGAAAGACTGATAAAATATTAATGTGGAAAGACCAAATCATAGGAAAATAGATAAACCTTCAGGTTATATACATTCACATTTGAAACCTAAATCAAAGCTTTACCCAGACAACAAACTATGCAACAATGTGCAATGTCAATCAGCAGTGGCCAAGGCCAGTAAGGTATTGTCATGCATGAAAAAAGGCATTCATTCTCGAGACGAGAATATAATTGTGCCTCTTTATAAATCACTGGTAAGACCACATATTGAATATGCTGTGCAATTTTGGGCACCTGTTCTAAAGAAGGATATTATGGCACTAGAAAAAGTGTAGAGACGGGCTACAAAATTAATAAAAGGAATGGAACATATCAGCTATGAAGAAAGGTTAACAAATTTAAACCTATTCAGTTTAGAAAAACATTGCCTGAGAGGGGATATGATAACATTATACAAATATATTCGGGGCCAATGCAAACCATTGTGTGGAAATCTATTCACAAAGCGGACTTTACATAGGACACAAGGTCATGCGTTTAGACTGGAAGAAAGAAGATTTTGTCTTAGGCAAAGGAAAGGTTTTTTTACTGTAAGAACAATAAGGATGTGGAATTCTTTGCCTGAATAAGTGGTTTTATCAGAATCCATACAGATGTTCAAACAGCTACTAGATGCATACTTGCAAAAACAGAATATTCAAGGATATAATCTTTCAATGTAGGGTAATAACTGCTTGACCCAAGGATGAATCCTAGCTTGTTGCAAAATTGCTTCAAACTGAGATTGTTTTGCCTTCATTTGGATCAACAGCAAAAAACTAATGTGAGGAAGGCTGAACTTGATGGACGCAAGTCTCTTTTCAGCTATCTAACTATGTAACCTATGTTAGAAAAAAATGAGAATATATTCCTGTTTTTGGACACATGTTTTAAATGAATGTAACAATGTTTTCAACAGGAAAGAAAAAGAAAACTTAGTCAGGGATGAAAAATTGACCATTAAAGAATTAAAAGAAAATCTAATTTAGTAATTAAACATGCAGATAAAGGGAGGGAATAGTAGTCAAAGATGGAGGTTATTATTAATACTGCACTCAATCGCATATAATATGCGTCAAAAAGAAAATAATCAATATGTTGAAATGCAAAAGTTAATTTATTGTACACTAAATGAATAATATTTGGGGCCAGTACAAACCATTATTTGGAAATCTATTCATAAACAGGGCTATACATAAGACACGAGGTCACACATTTAGGCTGGAAGAAAGGAGATTTCATCTAAGGCAAAGAAAAGGTTTTTTTTTACAGTAAGAGTAAGAAGGATATGGAATTCTCTGCCTGAAGAGGAGGGTTTATCAGAGTTCATACAGATGTTTAAACTGAAATTAGATAAATACTTGCAAAAACATAACATAAAGGGATATAATTTCTAATTAGTGGGGAAATAGCTGCTTGATCCAAGGAGACATCTGACTGCTATTTTGAGGTCAAGAAGGATTTTTTTTTTATTTTGTTGCAAAATTGGAAGCGCTACAGAGAAGTTTTTTGCCTTCTTTTGCATCAACAGCAAAAACATATGTGAGGAAGGCTGAACTTGATGGACGCAAGTCTCTTTTCAGCTATGTAACTATGTAACTAAGTTCTAAGAGACAATTTTGTATATAAAGTTATTATATGTAATTACACCTATTTTAGGTCTTACTCAAAGCAATACAAAGGGTATTTTTGAAGATAAATGATATAGTTAAAGCGGCAGTGTCATGGCCGAATCCATTTTTTTGAACCCCACTCCTGAATTCACTACATCTAATTTCCCTCCATATTACCTATTTATTTATCTTTATTTTCTGCCCAGATCTTGGTCCTGGACACCGCCATCTTTGTGTGGATAGATGAAGTGTCTGTGGGACACGTCATCTTCCCACATTAGACAGTGTCGTGAAATTCCTGAATATGCCCAGTTAAACACTTGGGCGTTTGAACAGGAATTTAATCTATTCATTCACTCATCATAAAGACAAATAAATGAATAGAAATTTCAAAAGAAATGAACGCAGACCTCTTCGTTCGTTCGTTTGGTTGATTACAAGGAGGGAACTACCGGCTCGCAGTTCCCTCCTTGTAATATGTAAAAATAGAAGTGGCAAGGAGCTGTGCTTCCTGACACTTCCTTACTCCCCCATGTCCTCCCTCACTATATGGGTGTCAATAGCATAATGGAGAGTAAAATCTACTACTCGTGGCATAGCATGTCTACTAAATAGTGAGCAGCCAGTAGCTGCTCACTGTTGTAAAAAAAAAGACCCCTCTAAAAAATAACCCCACGAGTGGGCACTATGCAACTAAATGGGGCCCCCACCCGCCGCTGATGGAGGGTGGGGGCCCTAAATGAAAATGGGGGGACACACCTATTGTCCTCCCCC